CTCATTTATTTAATCTTAGATTGCAGGAGGGAAAAGGAAGGCCTGTGGCTTCCCACAAAGCAGTTACTTGCGCAGAGCTCGTCCTGGATGTGTCACCAAAGACACAAAGAGTCATTCTAAAGAAGAAGGTAAGAGCCCTAGAGACTGGAAGTGGGAACCAGGAACTCTAGGACCATTGCAAGGAGCTCATCCCCTCCAGAGCCTTTGTCCGCTGAGGAAATGGAAACTTGTGGGGATGGCCTGGGCTCTGACCTTGTCCTCCTTTACGTCTGTGCTTGCTGCTGAACCACAAGCCCCTCTCCATTGTCTTTCTAGGGAGAAGTTAGTCCTAGAAACTGCCATTTGTGGTTTTTGTTATTTTCTTTTTCTCTTGTATCATATCTCTGAATTACACAAAACTATGAATTAAACAAAAATGTTGTACTGACAGTTCCCCTTTGCTGTTGACCAATCAACATGAAAGAGAAAGAGTTGAAAGAGTTGTCCATTCTCTCCAAGTGAACTTAGGGAAATGTGTCTCTGTTAGTGGACCTAGATTTTGGAGGGAAAGGCAGTAAAATCTGGCCAACAATATTAAAACGACGAGAAGATTAGTTGTAAATAATTGAAACTGAAACACGACAGACGTTTGGGGACAGAGATGCAGCGGCCACTTCCCCAGGAGGAAGGCCACTGGTGTGGTCATGTGGAACACATAGACCTGAAGAGTCTGCATAATTTAAATCATACAATTCAAAAGGAGCCCTGACAGAGAGTTTTTGCACTAAAGTGTCACCACATGTGATGGTAATGTAACTTGGTTGTCATTGGTTTGACTTTGAGGTTATGCAGCGCTGGACAGATTTCTAATTGTCTAGGGCCACCGCACCCGCCCACCCTCAGTGCACACTCAGCCTTGTGGGCTTTTTCTCCCTTCCTCGGTCTCATCTAAAGGTTTAGGGACTAAATTGTTAGTCAGAGGGAAAAGGAACCCCAAGGAAGATGGTCCACATCCTTTTGTTTTTTCATCTTTTTGAGACAGGGTCTCCCTGTAGCCCCAGCTGTTCTGGAACTCACTATGTAGACCAGGCTGGCCTTGAACTCAGAGATATCCACCCGCCTCTGCCTCCCGAGTGTTGGGATTAAAGGTGTGCACCACCACACCCGGCTCCATCTCCATTTTTTTAAAAGATATTTTATTTATTTATTTTATGTGTATACGTGTATTGCCTGCATGTGGGTAAATGTACCTGTGTCATGCAATGCCCATGGAGAACAGAAGAGGCTGTCAGATTCCCTGGAACTGGAGTTACAGACAGTTGTTAGCTGCCATGTGGGTGCTGGGATTTGCACCTGGGTCTTCTGCAAGAACAGTCAGTGTTCTTAACCTTGGAGCCATCTCTCTAGCCCCATCTCTATTTTTTAAGTAGGTGTTTTGGTGGTTTCCAGCTTAGCATGGGTAAGCTGTAGAGACATCCCTGAAGGATAGCTTTCCTCAACTGGGGCTCTGGGCTTGACTCAGCCTGCGGCATTTGAGATGCTTCCAGTGTTGGCTTGGTGCTGTGGGTAGATGAATTCTTTTACTGTGAACACAGGCAAGTGTGTGGGAATGGGAAATGCGGCCCACTTTCTTGGGGACACAAGAGTCAGCAGCTCTCAGCAGAAAGAACAGAGTACTGTTCTTGGTTCAAGTCTAGTATTTCCCATTCCTTCAGACTTCACTTTTCTACTGACTTCCCAGGTATATTAGAAGACCACTAAGATAATGTACATAAAGTGCTGTGTTGAGATGTCATGGTCATAGTATAACATGTTCATGGAAGCCAACCCTGTTGCAGACGCACACTAGCACCTTGTATTTATTACACTCATCATAAAAACCAAAGAGGTAGCCTAGTTCATCTCTTTGGCAGTCAGGAAACAGGCTGTAATGGATTAAGTACCTGGTATAGGTAGCTCACTTTCTAAACTAGCTCAGCTTTTAGCTATCTGTGCAGCTGGGGCTCAGATCTTGTCATTTTGACCCTGATATTCACATTGCACCCTTTGGCTTCTACTCTTTTAGTGTGTAGAATGCAGGACTTGGGTGTAGCTCAGTAGAAGAGTGCTGCCTAGCTCTGGGTTCCATCTCCAGCTCTTGGGAAATAAAAGAATGTAGAACACAGAAGACTGTCTTTCTGTCTCATGAGTAACTTGTGAATGAGTTGGTAGGACCCAGAAGTATCCATTGCTGCGGTGCAGCACCTATGTGGTGGGAGTGTGTATGACTGACAGTTGTGACTGGAGTAGACAAGTCCTTGCAGTCATGCAGGTTGCGTTAGGGAGGCAACATTACAGAGCAGCTAAGTGGCTCTGGAATTGGACAGGCAGCTCTTGGTCAGGCTGCCTGCTAGTGGGGAAGTACTTCTTCTCTTTGAGCCATAACTTCTTCCTCCATAAGGATAGTGGCAACATAGACCTCTGTGAATTGTTTTCAGGGTTAAATGAGTTGCTGCCCTCCGACCAATACCTGATATGTAGTGAGTTCTCAGTGGGTATTATCACTTCTTGTGTAGAAAGGACTAGATTCTTTGATCTGGAAACCTCGCTGTATTTAAATATTCCAGCAAAGAAAAATGTGTTGAAAATTTAAAAGCAATCAACTAAGTATAACCTTTGAATAAAACCATTTTAATAATCAGGGGCTAGAGAGATGCTCAGCAGTTAAGAGCACTGGCTGCTCTTGAAGAGGACCCAGGTTTGAATCCCAGCATCCACATGGTGGCTAATAACTGTCTGTTACTCCAGTTCCAGGGGATCTAACATCTTCTTATGTCCTCTGTAGGGATTGCATGACACAGGTGCCCTTACATATATGCAGGTATATACATATACACACAAAATAAAAATAATAAAATATTTTTTAAAAACAAGTTAATATGTGAATGGAATCAACTTGTAAACCTTGGCATCAATGTGGTATAATATGTACCATCATGAACACTAGAAGGGGTGGACCACTTCTGGCGAGTCTGCTTTTCTGCAGGTGACAGGATTGCCAATGGTTAGATGTTGTCTCACATATAATGACCCCTTCTCTGAGGTCAAGGTGTCTGAAGGCATCTGAAGCAGTGGTGACCATGGGAATATAGCCAAGGTAGAATATTGCTGAACCTTCAGATTTATTTTTAAAGGGAAAATACTAGATATAAAAAAGGAATGGTTTTTTAAAAAAAAATTTATACTATTTGTAGTTTTGGGTTGTTTGGTTCAGGAGTTTAGCGTATGGGCCTTGAGATTGTTTTGTTAAAGTGCTTATCCCATAAGCCTGATGACCTGAGTTTGATCCCTCGATGCCACAGTGGGAGAAGAAAACCAATTCCTACAGATTATCCTTTGATCACACACACACTGTGGCACACAACATGCTGGCACTCAAACATAGACATCATGTACCATGGGAATAATAAAGTTGACTTTAAAATGGGAATCTAGCATACTTTATGTGTTTTAGTATTTATATGATGTGTCTAAGTCCGGCTCTGACTGGAGACTTCCTCAGCCCTCACAGGAAGCTCTTAAGGTGCAAAGCTAGCTGGGGCCACATGTGATGGCACCTTCAGTCTCTGTGTTTCCCATCAGGAACCAGGAAAGCGCTCTCAGCTCTGGAGGATGACGGGAGCAGGAATGCTGGCCCACGAGGGCTCTGCAGTTCCTCACAACCCCAACAAGCCCTCAGCAGCGCGCTCCAGCGAGGGGTCAGCCATCCTAGACATTGCTGGACTGGCTGCTGTGACAGACAACAGGTAATTTGCTGGGGGACTTCTGAGTCAAGCTCACTGAGACTGAGGAATTCCACCCCACAATAAGAGTTCCGTAAACCCTTGTAAGAATTTGTGTTTTATATTTGTAAGTAAGAATGTGTCTTTCTGGCAGTAGCTTGTAGGCTACGGACACTGTAATCTGCCCACTTTTCTGATTCTTCAGAAAAGCATGACCTCTGCTTTCCTTCCTTCTCTTTTCTAAGCATGCTTTCCCTAGCACTCAGCTGTCCCTACATTTTGGGTTTCTTTACTTTGTCTAAAGCTCCCTTCCGCTGGTCCACCATGTGTCCGACCTCTCTGCCAGCTTAAAACAACACGGCCTTTCCCCCTTCTCTCCTCTTCTCCTCCTCAGGGCACCTGCTGAGATTTAGTTTGCCTGCCCTGGAGGTTTTTCCTTTAAATTCTAATAAAACTGTCCTTAAGCTTTTAAAAATTAAATTTTTATATTTATATGTTTTCCTTAATAGCTGAAACCTGTCAAATTCTCAATCATGAATGTTGGACTTTTCATTTAATTTCTTAAAAAATCATTATGAAGTGCCCATGCAGACGTAAAGAAATGTGGTAAAGTAAAATATTTCCTGGGAAATGAGTGAGCGTTTCACGGGAACGCCGTCTTCTCTTGCTCCCGAGAAGTCAGCAGTTTGTATTTAGATTTCCTATTGTTCTATTGTTTTCTATTGTTAAAATTTCCTGTTGTTGAATCATTTAAGAAAAATTAATTTAGTGAGACTATTCTGGGGTGTTTTTGTAAGTAACTCCCTGGATTAGAGTCAGCCTAGTAAGCTTAAGCAAGTTATCTTAGTTTGATAAGTTACTTGATTTGTCTGCGTCTTAGTTTTTCCATAAAATCTGTATATTTGTTTTCAGTTGATAACCTTATTTCCAAAATAGTTAAATACAAAGTAAAGAATTGAAAAATGAAATAGAAATGTCTGTCAAGAAGGCTTTAGCTGCTCAGTAGACATCCCTTCCCAAACCTCACAATGCCTGCCACTGCAAGGCTTCAGGGACCCGTTCAGAACCTTTTTTCTGTTCAGTCCTCCCTCCTCATGGAGAGGCTCCAACTACCATGCCACTGACGCGGGCTTGCCTGTTAGATTTGCAGGGCGGGGAACCTGAAGGAGGAGGAGTATATCCTGGTTCTCACATTCTCTTCAGGCAGGACTTGCTGACGCCAGAGAATTCATTGCATTCCTCTCTCCAGGTATGAGCCGCTGATGCTAAGGAAGCCAGACCGCAGGCGCAGCACAACACAGACGTGGAGTTTCCGAGAGGGCAAACTGACCTGTGGCTTGCATGGGCTGGTTGTCCAGGTCAGTAGCTTTTGATAACCTCAGCTGCAGCTCAAATGGGTTGAGCTTTCTTAAAAACAGTCTCATCTAGGTGACATACAATGAGTTGGTCAGTGGGAAAAGTTAATCACACATCCATACTCTTCAGTCACTCTACCTTTGTTAAAGGCAATCAAGGGGCTACTATGCATCTGTGTTATTACATGGAGAGTGGTCTTCTAAAAACATTTAATTTTTAACTATGTGTACCTATGTGGGAATATATACATGTGTGAATGCAGGTGCCCACAGAGTCTGGAAGAGGGTGTCAGATCCCCTGGGGCTGGACTTGCAGGTGGTAGTGGGCTACTCAGTGTAGGTGCTAAGAGGCAAACTTGGGCTCTCTGTGAGAGCAGCCTGGAAGAGGGTGTCAGATCCCCTGGGGCTGGACTTGCAGGTGGTAGTGGCTACTCAGTGTAGGTGCTAAGAGGCAAACTTGGGCTCTCTGTGAGAGCAGTAGGAATAGATGAGCCTTCTCTCCAGCTCTGCAGGAAGTGTTATTAAAGATGATATGCACAAGAGTGTTAGGATAGTTACATTGGGTGGTGGTCTCTCCCTCCCTCCCTCCCTCCCTTTTTTCTTTCTCTGCATTTTTGTCCCTGATGACATAAAATATCCATGTACTTATTAAAAGAAAGAAATTAAAATAATCTACTAGAAGCCCAACGCTAAGGTAGGTGGACTAGTTTAAGACCCCTGAAGCTAAAGCAGATTTGGGGTGTGGGGTTGTATATTTATATTGAATTTTTGTGTATCTCAAACACGACGTCTTAATCATCTTTATACCCCTGTCCCCATCGGCACCCTCCCAGAGCCCCCCCCCCACTGGATTTCATTCATTCTGTCATTTATGTTAAGGCCTATTGAGTCCAGGTAGTGTCTCCAGATGTCTCTCAGTGCAAGTTCATCCACTGGGGTCTAGACATCCTATCTAGAGTTCCTCCCTTAAAGAAAATCAACTCTTCCTCACTCAGCAGTAATCAACTGCTCAATAGTTATTTGGCTAAGATTGGGGCCTGCTGCCCATTTCCATAGTTCTATGCTGTGTTTTTGTTTGCTTCAGTTTGCATGGGTCTTGTGCATGCTGTTACCATTGCTGTAGGTTCATATGAACAAGGTCTCAGGAGCCTGTAAGACTCTTGTTTCCATATGATCATGCACCACGTCCCCTGACTCTTAATCTTTCTGACCCCTCTTCCGCAATGGTCCTTGAGCCCTGGGTGGGTGAAGTTTAATATAGGAGTCCTGTCCAAGGACCCACACTCTAAAGCAGATTTTTATAAGATACAAGAGTTGGTCATGGGCTGATACACTCTTGGTTTTGTGTATTGCTGCATCCTTCATGGTGTCAAAATAAGCATTTTATGGTAGCATAAACATCACAGTCACAACTGCTAGACAATTTCCTCTGTCCTCAACTCAGCCATTCTGTTGCATAACATATTTCCATGTACTTCATAAGCAAATACATGTTTGGAAAATTACCAAGAGTTTCAGTTTTCTGCCCTTTCTTGCTTTGGGTTGGTCATGAGCCCATGGACCTACATGGGCAGTTGGGAGGGCAGCTCCGGGGGTGGCAGATGAAGCAGAGCAGGAAGGTGACTGCACAGCTGTCCCAGCCTGTGCCTTGCAGAAAGGGAAACTCTTGGGATCAGGCCTGTGATGGAGCCCACTTAGTATTTCTCTCCCTGGTGGAGTCAGGCTGTCCTTGTGTGGGGAGACTTGTCCAGGGCAGTGTGTAAGGCCATAAGGATCCTCTTCTACTTGGTGAGATTTATTTTCTTTATCTCTGTCACCCCGAGCTTTTCTCATCAAAGGCAAGCTGCTTACTTATGTGGAGTGCACATCTGGAGTGGATTTGAGATTGTCAATTAGCAGTACAATTCAGGCTTCTAGAGGCGAGAGAGGGCTTGTTGTAATTGGTGGGTTCCAGGTCTGACCCTGACTTGACTTCTGGTTGTTTTCTTTCTCTTTTTTTAAGTCTATGTAATTCTAATTTTCTTCGAGTGCTTTTCTCCTCTAAATCCCTTTTGGGTGTTTGTTGTTTCCTAAATCTATTTAATCATTTCTTTGCTGTGAGGAACCCTGGAATCACAGTATTTAGGAGAGCAGAATGTATCTGGGGCAGGGAAGCCAGTTTGTTTCAGTCTTATGCTAAAGACCACTGAAGGCATGAAGCCTTTTCTGATGCTGCCTGCCCTCACTATGTTATGTATGGATTATCTAACTTACTGGTTCCAAGACTCATTCTTTGTATCCTATAAGCCAGCTCCATGCTTCATTTTCACTACTCATTATTTAAAAACCAGCAAACGGTCAGGCATGGTAGTGTGTACCCGGAATCCCTGCACACAGCAGGCAGAGGTGAGAGGATGGTGAGCTCCAGGCCGGCCCAGGCAACATGGTTTTGTCTTGAAAGACAAAAGAATTGAAACATTTGTCCTCTGTAGCCCATGTTGCTTTCCATGAGCCTCATCCTGGTGACCTACATGTGGGACACACGGAAGAATTAGGTTTTTTTCCCAAAACTTGCAAAACTATGTTCCTAAATGCATTGCATTTTAGAAGAGGCACCAGCTGTTGGATATCTGGGTGGTTTGCTTAGGTGTCAGCCCTTGGGGAGTTTCACCCTTCCAGTTTGCTTTCTATTGAAAATCGGAGCGACAGGGGTGCTTGTTTGATTTTCAGTATTTTGGGTTTTCAGGCAAACCTCGACAGTAATACTCAAAGAAACAAAGGTGACTTTGGCTACTTTAAAAAGACTTTTCAGTTATTAAAATTGATTCTAATGTAGATTAAGCCACGCTGGGTGTGGTGGCACACCTTTAGTCCTGGCACTAACGAAGCAGAGCCAGCAGATCTCTACACAATCCAGACCAGCCTAGTCTACAGAGTGAGTTTCAGGCCAGCTGAGACTACAGGGAGACTGCCTCAAAAAAACAAAAGGTAGCCAGGCATGGTGGCGCACGCCTTTAATCCCAGCACTCAGGAGGCAGAGGCAGGTGGATCTCTGTGAGTTCAAGGCCAGCTTTGTCTACCTAGTGAGTTCCAGGCCAGCTGGGGCTTCTGGGAGACCCTGTCTCAAAAAAGACCAAAAAAAAAAGTAGAATAAACCAATATATTTTATACATGAAATGATCTCTTGTGTACATGTGTGTTTCCCCACATTGATGCTGTAAACTTCCCATTTTACACAATCCTACTATTTTCCTCTGCAAGACTGAACAAGTCCTAAATGATCATGATTCTCCGAAAGAGAACTTAAACTCAGTCACTTCTTTAAGACAACATGTTAAATTGTCGAAAGTCTGTACTTTGGCCTTTTCTTGAACATCTTTACTTCAATGTCTTTTAGGCTAAAGGAGGGCTTTCTGGATTGTTTGATGGAGCTGAAGTTGTTCTTGGTCCTGACTCATCTGTGGAGCTTTTGGGACCAGTTCCACCTGAACAACAGTTTATTAACCAAAAAATGAGGCCTGGTTCTGGAATGTTATCCATCAGAGTCATCCCAGATGGACCAACTAGAGCACTCCAGGTGAGAATTCAGAAGAACTGACAAGATTTATGTCCTTTCCCCCTCCACATAGTCAGTCATTCAACAAGTATTTCTTGAGCGTATCTATGCTGGATGTGAGGGTATGCTGTCGTCATTTGAAACATGGGGCTATCCATAAAGTTGTTATGAGAGCTAGAGGGGACATAAATGTAAGAATGAAGTATAAGCAAAGTGTAAGTAATCTCAGCATTCAGGATGCTGAGGCAGGAGGATCACTATGAGTTTAAGGCCAGCTTGGGCTACATAGTGAGACCTTGTCTAAAAAGTATAAGAATTAAAGAAGATAATGCTGAGCACAGTGCATAGTAAGATGCATTGTAGAGACAGTGGTTTTTCCAAGGCAATCAGGAGTTGACAGGATCAGGATTTATTTGAGATGACCACATTGGCTGCAGCTTGTAAAGTTGCTGTAGGAAAAGACTCAAAGCAGAGAGAGCCCAACTGAGGTTCTGGCAGTGATGTGGGGCAGAGATGATGCTGTGGAGCAAAGTGCAAGGTATGCCTGGGGAAGATGGAAAGGGGCAAATCCAAAGAAAGCCAATTTAGTGATTAGTGACTGAGTGTGGGGGCCAGGCTTGAGTCAGGGATAGCCTCCGAGGCCACACAGAGCAACACGTGGGAGTCCACACCACCAAGCAGAAGGCAGAGGAATTGCATTGGCTTCTGCTGAGCTTGAGTACTTTCATGATTCTGTGTGGCAATGTCTGGAGCTCAAGACCAGATCTGTGTTGGAGATGTGGATTTAGCAGTCTTAGTGTGATTAGAGAAATAGGACATTGGAATGTCATGTGACCATTCTGACACAGCACATCACACTCCACACCATGCCCACTAATACCACTTCACAGAGCCATCTACTCACAGCAAAAATGACCACACTGCAGGGTCCTGACCCGCTCTGCAGAGGCCCAAGGTGTCTAGCTGGAGAGTGCCGTCAGGACTCAGAACCACACTTGCTTCATTATTGTCCACATCTTGCCTTAGCCATGGGAAACCATTCTCTTCCATGGGACTTGGCATAGAGTGACTCCTGACCTACACAGTTGGCATGGATGTGTGAACCCTCTTGTGTTTCATTTGACTTCAGATAACAGATTTCTGCCAGCGGAAAAGTGACCATTCATCATATGAAGTAGAGGAACTTCCCATTACTGAGCAAGAGCTGCAGAAACTAAGGAATCCAGACACGGAGCAGGAACTGGAAGTATGTTTAAATTTTTTTTTTTTTTTTTAATCTTTTTGAGACAGGGTCTCCCTGTAGCCCCAGCTGGCCTGGAACTCCCTATGTAGACCAGGCTGGCCTTGAACTCACAGAGATCCGCCTGCCTCTGCCTCCCGAGTGCTGGGATTAAAGATGTGTACCACCACTCCTGGCACATTTAAATTTTTTTTTCAATTAAAAATTTTTTAATAACTACATGATTAGAAGAAGCATTTCATTACAGCTTTAACATATTCAATAACACACTCCAGAGCAAGAGTACATCTCTTTCACAAGTGGCTGTAAGTTTCTAGGTTCACAGTTGAATTAATACAGTTATACAATATTGAACTCAGTATAAGCCCCCATTGAGAGGCCTGCAGGTCCTGCAGGCCCAGGGAAGCAGAGCACATTTAAATTTTTTAAAGGGGCTGGAGAGATGGCTCAGTGGTTAAGAACACTGGTTGTTCTTGCAGAAGACCCAGGTTCAAATACCAGCACCCACATGACAGCTAACAACTGCCCATAACTCCAATCCCAGGGGATCTGACAGTCTCTTCTGACCTCTGCGGGCATTTCATGGCACGGGTGCACTTACCTACATGCAGGCAATACACGTATACAGAAAAAATAAAATAAAAAATAAATTAAAAAAAGATTACATTTACTCTGTGTGTGTGTGTGTGTGTGTGTGTGTGTGTGTGTGTGTGTATGTGTATATGCACATGAGTGGAGGTCAGAGGACACTTTGCAGGAGTTGGTTCTCTCCTTCCACCATGTGGTGTACTGGAGATGGAGCTCAAGTCGTCAGGCTTGGTGGCAAGTGCCTTTACCCACTGAGCCATCTCACCAACCCAGGAAGTAAGTTTTAAATGCTACAAATTTATTTTCATAATCAGCAATTGGTTGAGAATTTTGTTCTGCAATTGTGTTTTCTTTCTTCCCTGAGTGAATTCTGAGTGTGGGCTGTCACTGCCCTGTGCTTACTGTTCTGTTAACACAGTGCAACTGTGTGATTTGAAGTTACGTGAGTGATTCCTAGAGCTTAGGTGGATCACAGAGTAAGAAATGTTGCTAAAGTAAGGTGACAAAAAAGGAAACTAAATGATCCGAGTTTAAATAGTATTAAAAGAATAAGAAAACTTGATTTTTCCCCCTATCTGACCTCTTTGGGAAGAAAGTGACAAGTTTGCATGAAAAAGCAACCTTATGTAATCTGTTCAGTAAAGCATGTTTTTAAATCAAATACCTGTGTAAGGCACTGTGTCAAATGCTGTCGAAGTACACTGAATTGCCAGTTAGGAGTTCACATCCCAAACAGGGAGAAAGATTCTGGAACAATCTCACTCTGCTTTGAACAGCACCTTGGGTGTTCTGGGTGAGGTGTCCTTATACCCTTCAGAGTTCTGGCCTGGTGTGGGGGGGTATCTCTAAAGCAAAAGGCTTTGAGGGAGCAAAGAGTAGAGGAATCAAAAGCTTTCATTTCCAGGGACTCCTGGCTACCAGTTTTAAACAGTTGGCAATGTTTGATTTCCTTCAGGTGCTTGTGCGGTTGGAAGGTGGAATTGGTGTCTCTTTAATTAATAAAGTCCCAGAAGAACTGGTCTTTGCAAGTCTAACGGGAATCAGTGTCCACTACACCCAGCTGGCAACCAGTCACATGCTTGAGCTCAGCATCCAGGATGTCCAGGTACTGGGTAGAGGAGTCTTGTTCTCATGTTGAGTGTTCATCCAGGTTTGGTGTCTGGTGTTCCGGAACACTCAGTGCTTTGGAGAAAGTATCTTTTTTGCCTTTTTTAAAAAAAATAGATTTCTTTTTAATTATGTGTATGTGTGTATCTCTGTGTGTATATGTGCATATGAGTGCTGGTGCTTGTGGAGACCAGAGCTGTCAGATCCCCCTGGAGCAGGAGTTGCAGGTGGCTGTAAGCTGCCCAGCATGAGTGCTGGGAAGCAAACTTGGGTTCTCGGAAGAGCAATATGTAGTCTTCACTGCTGAGCCTTCTCTCCAGCCCCTAGAGGAAATACCTGGTTATGGTTTTTCAAAAGAATCAGCCTGTAATTTCTACCCACTTTTGTCTTAATAGTTTTTTTAAAAATCTAATTAAAAAAATATTTTAGGGGCTGGAGAGATGGCTCAGTGTTTAAAAACACTGGCTGTTCTTTCAGAGGACCAGGATTCAAATCCCAGCACCCACATGGCAGCTAACAACTGCCCATAACTCCAGTTCCAGGGGATCCGACGGCCTCTTCTGTCCTCTGCGAGCATTGCACAACATGGGTGCACTTACCTACATGCAGACAATACATGCATATGCGTAAAATAAAATTAATAAATAAAATATTTTATAAAATTTTTAAAAATTTATTTATTATTTTTATTATATGTATGAGTGCATTGCCCATGGAGGTCAGAAGTAGGCATCATATCCCCTGGAACTGGAGTTAGGGACAGTTGTTAACCAGGATGTGAGTGCTGGGAATTGAACCTTGTCCTCTGCAAGAGCAGTCAGTGCTCTTAATCACTGAGCCATCTCTTCAGCCCCTAATTTTTTTATACAGAAGAATTCCAGATAGTCTAGCTGGTACATAAATAATTTAGAAAATAGTTTAGTCAAAAAACTCAAAGTTTTCCATCTTTTAATTTTTAAAATTTTATTACTGGGTGTGTTTATGGCAGGGGTAATGGGAGGAAGCCATGCCACAGTATGTGTGTGGTGGTCAGAGGGCAGCTTTGTGGTGTCTGTTCTCTCCTTACACCTTTACATGGGTTCTGGGAACTGAACTCAGGTTGTGTAACTAGGATCGTCAGACCACTCGCTAGCACCAAGTTTCTCATCTTACCAATAGAAAAAGAAGAACAGGGAATTGTATAACTGTCATTGGAGGAGTTGAGGTTCATCATAGGGATAAACAGCCAGGTCTGGACTTGTACTTCTAGGCAAGATGAAATAACTGAGACCAGCTTCACTCTCCCACTGGAGGCAAGCCCCAAATCCACAAAAAAATAAGGAGGCAGCAGCTTCAGGACATCAGACCTCAGAGATCAGTGACTTCAGTGAGATAGCAAATAAAAGAGGTGAACCCTCGGCTTACTTAGCTTGAGAACTTTCCAAGCCACAGGACTGGGAGAGAAGACAACAGAGCCCTGCAGAGTGGATGCATTGAGAAGGCAGAACTGAGCATCCATAGAGACCAGGACAGCTCTGTCTAGGTAGTGTGTCCATGAGAGAGTGCACACAGGAAGAGATTCTGCAGAGTACTGATCCTTGTACAGAAGCTGTTCATCCAGGAGACTCTGAGCCGCACCTGCTGCCCACCGCGCCTGCTGCCCTCACGGGCTGTGATGGTGCCTGTCCCCTCCAGTCAGACTGGAAACCCTGGAGTGTGATGGGAGGTTGAGAATAGTCTCAGGCAAGTCTTGCCTCTGTGGTTAATTGGCCCCAAACTGAGCACTGCTCTGATCTTGCCTTGCAAATCATAAAAGGAAGTTGTGAAAGGATCAACGTTTCCAAAGAAATTAACTATGTCCCTGAAACGGCTCAAGAAGATTTACTAGAATACAAGAGGTTCCAACGCCCAACAAGGGAAAAGACACAGTCTGTAGCCCATCAGAAACTGCTGAGTGTGTGAGTGAGCAGGAAAGCACCTGAACAAGGAGAATAACCCTTCAGAATGGACCCAGTGCTGCCACAGCTGTTAGAACTTTCAGAAGACATTAGAACTGTTATTAGAACTGGTATTCTGTGTATTCAAAACATCAAGTAGAAAGCTAAAAAACAGAAATGAAATTGCAATGAAAATGCTACTGGATGTATATCATAGGCAGCTTGATAGGACTGCAGTTCATGTCCATGGTTCCACATCTGAGAATTCAGACAACCCCAGATCAGAAAGACTTTTTAAAAAATTGAGTCTGTGCTGAATATCTATAACCCTTTTTCCTTAGCATTTCCTAAACAAAGTATAGCGACTATTTCCATAGCGTTTATGCTGCATGAGGTACTCCAAGTCACTTAGAGCCTGTTGAAGGTGTGTGGGAGGCTATGTGCAAATGTTAACACTATTTTATATTGGACTGGACCATTCTTGGAATTGGGGTGCAGTTGTCTTGGAACCTGCTGCTACTGAGGCACACCATAGTCAGGTTACTCAAGGCCATCAGTAAAGCCCTTCATAGGTAAAGTCACTGTGCACAAAGGATCAAATAGATGACAATAGATTTCTTGCCGGGAACAATGCAGGGTGAGAGATGGGAGTCACATCTTTAAGAAGAAGGTGGGCAGAGAACTACATTCTAGAAATCTCCCAGAAAGATTTGAAAAGACTCTTTTCAAAACCAAGAGTGAAGAGGTTTTTAGGCAGAGAAATGATAGAATTCATTATCAACAAACCACAGCGTCCCAAATGGCAAAGAACATCATTCAGCAGACAGAAAATGGCACCAGTGGAATCTGAATCAGCACAAAGTAGAGAGGGAAACCTGAAGTTATCACAGAGCTAAACGCAGAGTTGTGCTTCCTAAGTGAGCCTCCGCCAGACAGAAGCTGCTTAGACAGACCTAACAGCACCATGTTTTGGAATCTATTCCTCATATAAAAGTAAAATGCTTAACAATAGTGTAGAGACTAGAGGGGTGAAATGGAAGTATGTCACTGTACTTTTACACATGAAGTGGTTATGATGTCAGTAATGTACCCAAATGTATTAGAAATACTGCCAACTCTGAAAAATAGTAATAGTTGTAGGTAATTGGTATTCAGTAGAATTATAAAAAGTGCTCAGGTAATCCAGGAGAAGACAGAGACTGGGGAAACCACAGATGGAATGAATAGCAAACTTAATGGCATCGATTAGCTGTCAGCTCAATGTAGATCAGACCGTGTGAAATTCAAGGCCCAGTTGTCACCAGCACAAGGTACACATCAGTGGGACTATAATCCTAGCACTCAGGAGACTGAGGCAGGAGGATCACAAGTTCAAAATCACTGTATGCTACATGGGAGACCCTGTCTACAAAAATAACAACAGAAAAAACAAAAACGGAAAAAGATATACTCCACCGACTCGTCGTAAGGAAGTAAGGAAGTAGGAGTTGTACTGATTCATGTCAGAACAAACCTCAGAGCAAAGATTAGCAAGGATAAGAAGGTAATTTCTTAATGATATGAGAATTAATTAATCAAGAGGACATGACACGTTAGCATTGATATGCCTAATCATAGACTCCAACCTTTTGACATTGTGACATGTGTCATCTACAGAACTCTTGCTTGAGAACTGTGCAATTGAGTTATAAAAGGAAGGGAGGGAGGGGAAGGGAAAGGAAGGGAAGAAGGAAAGGAGAGAGGGAGGGAGGGAGGGTAGGTCGGTCTAGAGAGATGGCTCAGTGGTTGAAAGCACTTACTGTTCTTCCAAAAGACTCAAGTTCAGTTCCCAGAACCCACATCAGGCAGCTCTAACTCCAGCTCCAAGGGGAATTTGATGGCTCTGCCCTCTGAGGATACCTACACTCACATGTACATTCTCACACATAGACACACAGACACACACAGACACACACATACACACACACAATTTAAAGCTTTAAAAAAAAGAAAGCAATCACAAAATCTCCTGTCTTAAGTTTGATTTTGTGTTGCACTATATTCATAGCTGTCCTTGACAGAATGCAGCCTGTAAACTAGGAGTTGAACACACCTGTATAGAATTTCAAAAACACATGGACGAGATCCAGTAAGGTGCTTACTGCCAAGCCTGAAGACCTGAGTGTGATACCTGGGACCCACATGGTGAAAGGAAAGAACACTGCCCTCCACACACACTGTAGTGTGCACCCATGCACACACAGTAAATACATACATACACATCCACACACAAATAGTAAAGAAAAATACATGGAAGAAAACGTGAAAGAAACAGATGAACAATTACAGCCAAGGATTTTGACACTGCTTTTGAGCGACTGGCTGGTGGTCAGGGATGTGCTCGGTGGTGGATGGTGGCTCGAGCAGCATGGCCTGCCTGCCATAGTCTGGGCTATAAACAGGTCTCAAGAAGTCAAAAAGACATTCAGTATTTTCAACCACAGTGGAATTAGAGTAGCAATAATAGAGAGATAATTGGGAAAATCCCCATGACTACTTGGAAGATTACATACTTATAAGTAACTCAGATTAAAGACAGGATCAAAACCGAAGGTAGCAAATCCTTTGAACTGTTGTAAACAGCACCCGTGTTTGTGGAGTGGCACACGTTTACAGCACTGCATTTTCTGTTATCTTGTCTTTTTTTTTTTTTTTTCCGGAGCTGAGGTCCGAACCCAGGGCCTTGCACTTGCTAGGCAAGCGGTCTACCACTGAGCTAAATCCCCAACCCCACATCTTCTGTTTAGTAAAAAAGGACTTAGAACAGTGAACTCAGGTATCAGAAACTGACTACAAATGTGGACTGAACATTTATACCCATGAACACACACACAGACACATAAAGATGGAGGGCACTAAACACAAACAAGAAAAAATTAAAGATAGCATCAGAAATCCATGAATTCGAAATTAATGTTCAAGCTGGGCGTGGTGGTACACACCTTTAATCCCAGCACTCAGGAGGCAGAGGCAGGCGGATCTCTGAGATCAAGTTCCAGACCCGCTTCAAATCACAGGGCAAGTAGATGTTATGAGCTCAGTGGTACAGCACTTGCCTCAAATGTAAGAGGTTCAGGGTTCAATCCCAAGAGTCTCTCTGCCCCAAATGTGGAGAAAATAAATAGATTTCAGGCTTTACTATTATAACAGTGCTGGGGACATCTTTTTAAAGTAGGAAATACAGGCCCTATTCGCAGGAAGGACTGAGTCTCATTTAGAGAAGAAAGCAGAGTCAGTTGTTCTCAGCTACCTTGTATAGGCAGAGGGTTCTTGACCTGAAATGCTCGGAACCAGAAGTGTTCCAGAGTTTGGATTTTGGAATATTTGCATATATTTGGGATGGGATCCAGGTCTAAATGTGCAGCTTGTTTACATTTCACAAGACCTAATATACATAGCCTAGAAGTGCTTTTCTATAATACTTTTAGCACGTTTATGCATGAAACAGTTTCATGGTATGGAATTCTCCCCTCCAAAAGTTCTGGATTTTAGAGCATTTTGGATTTCAGAGCGTTTTTCTGACTTTGGGAAAGGACAAAAGAGGGTAGAGCAGTCGAAGAGCAAGGTTATAGCACGGTTCCACATACTGGATCAGCTAGGGAGTGATGCCTATAGCCAGTGAGTTCTCACGGAGCAGCAGCTGTGTACTAGGTACTGTCTTGGCTCTGGAGACAGAGCTGTGACTGAAAACATGTTGTCTCTGTTTTCCCAGACCTAACACCTAGGAAGGGCGTCAGTACATACATGATGAACACTGACACCCTGTGGTGACTCGCTGAAGGAATGGCAAGGGATGGTTGTACCTTAGATGAGTGGCCTGGGAAGGGCTTCCTGAGAACTGAGCCAAAGCTTCAAGGCAGAGAATGAGCAAACTCTAGAGAGAACACTAGGAGCTCAGGAAGATGATTCAAGCATGAATTTGTACTCTGGCTGCTTTCTGCAGAGTGCACTGTAGGGGCAAGAAAGAGGTAGAAAAAGTACCAAGAGGCTCCTGCTCCCTGTACTTGAGGGCCACAGAGGGATCGGCAGCACCAGCTCTTGCACCACTGCTGGGACATAGTAGAAACGACATTGAACTCAGGTTGTCAGTCTTGGCAACAAGCTCCTTTACCCTCTGAGCCACCTCGCCAGACCCATTATTTTGGAAACACAGACTCACTGTGTAGTCCAAGCTGACCTCAGGCTGTCAGTCCTCCTGCCTTTTCTTTCCAAGTGCTGGGGTTTCAGGTGTGCACCGTCTTGCCCATTACCACCACCACCACCACCACCACCACCACCGGTCTTTGGTGAGAATGTTTGTGTAGTTGCTGTGAGGAAGCAGAATGGCCACTGGACTCTGAATAGCATATCGAAAGCATCAGTCAAAGGTAAAAATGGCAACTCAGTAATTTGTCTGGTTTTGTTTTGTGTTTTGTTGACTTTTCATGCCCCAGGTGGACAATCAGCTCATTGGCACCACTCAGCCCTTCATGCTCTATGTGACCCCCCTGAGCAACGAGAATGAGGTCATTGAGACGGGCCCTGCTGTGCAAGTCAACGCAGTGAAGTTCCCCAGTAAGAGCGTGCTGACCAACATCTACAAGGTGGGCTGGCGAGGAGGCTGGGGGCATGGCATGTAAGACACAGACTTTCTCTCTCACAGCCAGGTCACAGAGCAGCAGCACAGGGTGTGCATAGAGGTGGATCTCTAGGGCCAAGTCACATGGGACTTAGGAAAATGAATAAGACCACCTTGTATCCTTGGTTGTATTTTCAGTGACCTTGAAGTTGAACTTGTGTCCGAACCCACAGAGACCAGAGTCGTCTTTCATCAGGGTGAAGAGGTATCTTCTAGACTGCTTCCATCTAGTTTCAAAGACTGAGCAGGCTAGAGATACTGAAACAGAGCTATGAAGGGTCTGACCTTGGGACAGACACCATGCTGTGTAAACAGCCAAGTTGTTTATAAAAACAGAGAGTTCAAAAGACAAAAAAGCTCTCTGACCTGGAGAGGTCCCCAGGTATAAGCCAGCTGTAAAAGTGGGAGCCTTCTTTCTGGTTCTTTATCACTAATGCTGTTGGCACCAAGCCTGCTTGCAGCCCTCCACCACAGGCCCAGTCATGCAACTTAAATGAGCTGCTGAGGTCTGAGCACAGCACCCTGGCATGGCAAAGCGTCTACTGAACATTGGAATTCTGGTTCACTGTAACAAGGCAAAGGGAGGTGAGCCAGAAATCATTTGACTTTCTCATTAAATCACACGAGTAAAGAAACCATGCCATGGCATTAGGGATATTTATTTAGAGTCAGGGCCTTGCATGCTGTAAGCCTCCTGCCTCAGCTTCCCTAGTAGCTGGAACTGCAGCCCCCTAAGCCTTGCTTGTTGGGGTCTTAGTGACACACATGTTCTAGTGTTCACCTGTAAACCAGAATTTCTTTCTCTCTAGCATCTGATGGTCACGGCGCAGAGATTCACAGTACAAATTGAGGAGAAGCTGTTGCTCAAGCTGCTGAGTTTCTTTGGCTGTGACCAAGCAGAATCAGGTAAGCTGAACACTCTGCCTCTGTTTGGGATTGGCCCACAACAGCATATGTTAGTCCCTGGATGCCAACCAAGCTGGCTCCAAACCTCATAGCCTGAGCTAGCAAGCTAAGGTTTGCGATTCGGCCATTCCCTTTTCAAGATTGCTTGTTGTCCAAGTTATGTCCACCAACTAGGCAGCCCGAGAGGGTCTTTGGTGTCCCAGTTGAGCAGTTGGCCACTGGGACACAGTGCACTCTTCCTCTCTGCTTTCCATTCTTTGAGCCCGTTGCTCTGGGATAACGGAATGATGTTCATCATTTAGCAGACTGCTTTGTTTCCAACCTTTGTTTATAAAACAGAGTCAGAGCCAAGAATCAGAAATCCCTTTGGCAGTTCCTTTGGTTTAGTTCAGAAAAACAAAAATTGTCCTCAATTCATTGACTTCTGACATCCATACCCTTGTGCAGTAATGTCATTACAAAGGTTTCTTGTTACTGTATTCTCCTTTGAGTCAAATACACTACCAGAAAAACCTCAATTTCCAGGAAAGAACTTCACTGTTGTCTTTGTTTTAGCTTGCTGATCAAGGCCTTTCCTCCTGCCCTTGGGACCACATCTACAGCTAAGAGAGAAGCCAGTAATGCATAATGTTCAACCTGTTTTTTAAGATTTATTTGTATGTGTGTGTGTGTGTGTGTGTGTGTGTGTGTGTATGTGCATGTGTGTACCACATGTGTGTACGTGTCCACGGAGGGCAAAAGAGGGGGTTGAATCCTCCCTGGAGCTGGAGTTACAGGTGTTGGTAAGCTGCCGAACATGGGTGCTGAGAACTGGGAGAAGTAGTAAGTGCTGTTAACCCCAAGCCATTCTATGTAGCCCACACTACCCTCAAACTCATGATCTTCCTGGCTCAGCTTTTTGAAACCTGAACTAAATATTGAGCCTGAAATATCCGTGGGAATATGTGTGTATTCATGTGTAAACATACCCGCAATGTAAGAAAAATATTTGTTATTTTTCTGTTATTTATCCCTAGATTTGGAATTCAGCTTTAAATTTCCAGCAACACAAAACAGAATGAAGTTTTAAATGTCTTTTGGATTGGCTGGGGATTTTGCTCAGTGGTAGAACATGTATGGCGCATATATGAGGCCCTGGGTTCAGTCCTTGATACTGCAGAAAGAAGCAGGGGGAAACATGAAGTGCGAAGAGGCAGATTTTGTCAGTTTAGCACCAGGTTTTCCTCTTTGGCTTGGTCTCCAGTGTTTATTTGTAGCCACACAGCCATCTGAAAGCCTGCAGCCTTCAAGTCTTTCCTGAGAAAACTTAAGTTTGGTGGGCCATGCTTGTCTAGTGTTTTCTAAGTTCCTGTTAACAGTTCCTTCCCAAGCACTGTAGAGGGTTTGGGCTTTTGGAAAGGCCTTGTCTGCTTTTCATTGGAGCACCTCCTCTGCTTTCAGTAGCCAGTTCGACAGCGTGGATAGGCAGGGCTCCCTTGGAGAGTCCTTCTTCTATAAGTAGAACTGACAACAGTTATACCAAGTACCTGAGTGCATTCTCTCTGGTTTTCCTTTGGAGATACAGGAAGTAAGGGGATGCTTACCTCCTGAATGGACGCAGTGCAGCCTCAGGTGCAAAGAGTACTTTGCTGTTTTAGCCCTTGTCTGCCCTTTTTACTCATGGGTAGCAAATTAAAACAATACCTTGATTACCTTGCTTACAGATTCCCATCGCTTGGGAAGGATGCAGCTGTGGATGTAGCTGTGTGAGTTCTTTGTGGCCTCGCTCCAGTTCTTTTTCAGGTGTTATATTATTCAGAGGCATTATTTAATTGTTGAGATTGTTCTTTTTGGTTCGGCTCCACTGCACTCCAGATCCTTATCCGGATAGCCTGAAATAAATGCAGAGAACCTGGGTCATGGGAATAATAACAGTAGTTTTGGAAAGTCTGTGGCCAGCAGACACACCTGTGACCTTTGGCGCTCCAAGATGCTATCTGCCAGGTGGCACAGAGTCACAGGTTAAAAGAGGAAGCTAATCTACTTTTGGATAACCAATATAAAAATTTGCTTTTATATAGAAATGGCATCAGGATTCTGTATGCATTATTGAGCCCACGAAAACGAAGAGAGAGATGGTCACGTTTGTGTTTAGGTTTGCAGTGGTGACACCTATTTGAATCAAGACATTTTTACTTTTACTTTTGTACCAGAGGTGGAAAAATATGATGAAAACCTCCATGAAAAGACAGCAGAGCAGAGGGGAACGCCAATTCGATACTACTTTGAAAACCTCAAGATCAGCATTCCCCAGATCAAGCTGAGTGTGTTTACCTCCAACAAGCTGCCATTGGACCTTAAGGTGAGCTGATAGCAGACACGTGTTCCAGAGTGACTCTCCCTGAGACCTTTCCAGTATCTTGATTTTTTCTGTCTGGAATTAGCGTTCATAGGACGTAGCTCTGTTACTGACTTTTTGGAGGATTTGGACTGGTTTATTGTGCTTGATATAATTGCAAAGGATGAACACTAAAGGACGTAGCACCCATCTGCTCTCTGGGTAACTCCAGGCTTACCTCAGAGCAGTGGAAACCTCTTTCCCGGGGCTGTTCGTGGTCTTCAGAGAAGGACCAGGACAGTCTCTTCCTTTTGAGCTGCGCTCCCATTTCCCTCTTCCTCTCTTCCAAGTTCCTGTTTGTCCTGGGATGTTTGTCACTAGGGAAGTCTGGCACCTCCAAGGAAGACTTGGCTGTAAGCTCAGAGATGTGACTTCACACAGCCATAGGATGTGACACTCCTACTGACCATCTTGATGTGTACTTGACATATACGGCCTGAGCACCACCTCCATTTTCAGCAATGAAACATTTTAAGGAACAGCGAGGGCTGCCATTCAAAGCCAAGTCTCATTTTCCATTGTGCTGTGCTGCCCCCTAGAATGCAAGGAGAAGACTTGAGGCCCATGCTTCTCCCAAGAAGGTCTGTCTCTGAACAGGAATAGTTGAGGTCCTAGCAGATGAGTAGGGAACCTGTAGTACTGGTTTCTGGGTTAGGTTACAAGGCAGGCTTGGTGTGCAGGGCTCTGCATGCATGCACAGAGTGCAGCTGCATCAGAAGAGGCTGTGCAGCTCTACTCCAGCCTATTGCTGTGGTGGGGGAGTATCAACCCAGTGCTACCAAATCTTCAGATTTTTAAGGAGGAGCTGGAAATCTGGATTTTTATGTGGGATCTCCTGGTTTTTATATGTTGGCAGCCAATTCAAGTTTCTTAAAAAAAAAGAAAGAAAAAATCTTATGAGCCTAGCAGAACATATATGTGGGTGCCTCATGTGCCAGGGCCTGCCAACTCCCAACTTCTAAAATAGACCTACAGGTGATGGGACAGTTGTCTGGTTAGCCTCCAGGAGTGATGACTCGAGAGGAATGCAGGTAGGGGACAGCAGCTGAGAAAGCCAGCCTGAGCCAGGGGCTGCATCCTGAGAAAGGCATGGCACCTCTCTCTCACCACCCTGCTGATTAACCTGCCTTAATTTCATGTTTCCCAGGAGGCCAGAGATACTTATAATTAGCCTGGGAGTGAGGGGAAAGCCATGGGAAAACCACTGTCTTGCTAATATCCACAAGTATCCACTTGACTTATGTGGCCTTTGGAATGAGTTTGTTTGATAAAGTCTGTTCCCCCAGAATACTTGGCTTCCGCCCAACAAACCAAATGCTAAGCATTTCCTGCAAGTAGAAGACTTCTTGTTTTTAAAATGATCTTATTCAGCACAGACCCTAACCATTCCCCTCAGAGCACTCCCAGTGGAAGTACCCAGCTCCTGGACCCCTGGCACTGATGCCCTGAGTGCTCTTCATGAAGTGAACGGGGTCCTTCCAGTGACTGCCTCCTCAGTGCTCTGTTGCTAGAATGTTTTTTCAGAGTACTGTTAAACAAATGATACAGCACAGCCATGGAAGGAGACCTGGGGGCCACACTGGGTGGTTAGTTCAGGATTCAGGCAGGGCACTGGGAATTGGGACTTCAGAATTTAGCTCTTGGCTTATAGAACTCACCATATTACTGTACCTTGAGTTCTCCTAGTGGAGTCTGGGACTCATAAGATAATGTCACTTATTCAAAGAGTTTCCTAACAGAGTAATATCCCTTTATTAGGAGCTTTTAGAAAGGGCAATATGTTCCTTTTGATGAATATATAATCACTAAAAACATGTACTTAGGAAATGGAGTCCTCTCCCTGAACAGCAATCACAAGAGTCTGACTAAAAGGTAACCCTGTCTTCGGTATTGAAGGAATAATTGCCTTGATTCTCCAGATTCCCAGGCAGGAGTGAGGCTGTCAGAAATCTCCGAGGGGAGCCTCTTCAGGTTTACACTGAGGGTACATTGTTGCCAGATATGGTGTCTGTTCAGGGGGCCTCAAAGCAGCTCCACATCTGCTGTCTCCATTGGATTCCTGACTGATAGAAGAAGGGAGTGCTAATATTCCACTTCACAAACACAGAGACAAAAGCACTTGTTCCACCCCCACCCTCCTCTCCTTTATCTGCATGGAGTTCACAAGTTAAGAGAATGGCATAACCAAATTCAAATGCCAGGTAGCTTATATATGAGCACCCTCCCCCCCCTGACACACACACACCTTTAAAGATCAAAAGATGCCAGAAGCCCTTAAAAGGTTTCAAAAAGTGGCCTACAGCAGTCCCTTTCCCATTTAGAGTATTAGGGTATTACAAAAGAAGGGCTTTAATTGAGCAATCTAGTTTGGAAGAAAACCCACATTTTAATGGTCAGAGAGCAGGCCGGTGGGGGTAAGGGGGAATTTCAAACAAAGACACTATTTAAAAAGTCTAAAACTGTCTTCTCAAAGGCTTGAAATAATTTGTTGGGAAACTTCAGACCCTTTACTTTTTCCCTCCCCTCCCTAAATAAAAACCAGATTTGTTAAGAGGAAAAAAGATCCAGTATTGTTAATTGTATTGCAGAAAGTGCCAGAGAGGGAAACATCCCTGTAGTTTTAAACACTGTCCCCAAAGGGAAAGGCAAATACCCACTTCACATAAACAGTCTCTGTGCACCATAAATAAACCTTCCAAGAATGAATCCAGACAGTTTCGTTTGGTGTGGGATAAACGAGGAAAGGAAAGGACACGGCCCAGGCATTAGCTGTGGTCTGAGGCCTCGTGGACAGGTATTTCTTCTAACTTGACGCCGTCTCTGGAAGACTTTTGTCTGAGGAGGTAGGGGTGAGCAGTTTTCCATCTTTATTAAGAATGTATGAGCATAGGATTGCTTTCTTCAGAATCCATTTTACAACAGGAAGCAACTACTTGAGTAAATTGTCATCAGCGCTGGTCCTACTGTATGCTCTTAGGCTTTCGGTGCCACTCCAAAGGAGCTCTGTTTGGCTTGCCTTCCCTCTCCTGCCTTCTGCCACTGACCAGATCAGCCTGAAGGTGGCAGAGTAATTCATTCCAACAGGCTGGACCTGAGTCTGCAAATCTGTTACCACAGGCGATCCGTGACTAGGTGAAGCCAGTTTACTCCAAGGGTGGGGCACTTCCTTGGTCCCAAGAGTGGATGGTGCTTGGCGTGAGGCTTGGCAGGCTGGTGGAGGACTCAGGTCTCTGCAGTATATGTGTTCTTCTTTAATATTTGATTGCAATAAGGAAGTTGGATTTCTGGGTTTTTTTTTTGTTGTTTTTTTTTTAAGCCTTAAGCTTTTATTTAATCACACTTCCTCTTCTTTAAGAATGTAACACAGTGGTAAAACCACGTGCTGAACGAACCAAATGTCAGTCCCCAGCTTTCTCAGCATGCTTGGCCTGTGGCTATGAGCAAAGCAATTAAGCTGGGTTGCTGAGACATGGGCCCGGCTGGCCTCACACTCACTGTGTTGCCCAGGCTGGCCTTGAGCTCATTCTGCAACCTAAGATGGTTTTGAACCTGCAGTCCCCCTGCATTAACCTCCCAAGTGTGGCAATTGGAGACATATGCCACTGTGGTCAGCTATGGGTGTCCTTAGTCCCTAAAATGTTTCCTTCTGAAATCGTCAAAGACTCCCCAGGCTGCAGGCCAGTGGCTTTTCCTGCCCTTCTCTTCACTGGTCCTCTGCTCTCTGATGTGTCTGACTGAATTCTTGTCCTGTCTCCTCTGGTCCTCTTCCTTTGTCTGTTTTCCCTTATTTCTTTGGTACTACTTCTTCAAGTTAGGGACCAGGCTTGTCTCTGTCTCTTGTAGAACTTGTCTAGTCTTCTGTCAGGTTATCGGGCTTTTATCTCATCTAAGTTTTGCAAACTCTCCATAAAATTTTGTCTTGATAAAAGGGACAGATGCTTTTCATTTGCCCTTTTATTTTACTGTATATACTTACAGGATTTTTTTTTTTTTTTGAAAGGGTCTCACTATGTAGCCCTAGCTGTCCTCAAAGTCACAGAGATCCCTTTGCCTCTGCCTCCTGAGTGCTAGTTTTAAAGGCATATACCACCACAACCAGCCGGGATTTTTTTATTTCTACCTCGTCAAATTTATTAGTCTGCTGCCTTTTTGTGTCTGAGTTTGGGATTACAATTTATGCCTTTTAGAAAATTCATCCTTGTTTTCCTATCGTATGATTTACTTTCTATTAAACATATTCCAAAAGAATCTAAGGCAGCCTCTGAAAAACACCTAAAAAGATTAGGAGATAAGTGAGAAACAGAGTTCTAATTCTATTAAATTAAATAAATAAATTCCATTAATACATATTACAGACATTTTAATGCGGTTAGAAAATTAAATTTTTTTTGTGTGTATATGCATATGTCTCTGTCTCTGTATATTTGCGGAGAGGGGGGCACACATGTGTGCACATGCGTGTGGAGGCCAAGAGGACAGCCTTAGGTATTCTTCCTCAAAGAGCTGTCTACCCTGTATTTTGAGATAGAATCTCACTGACCTGGGCTCAGCATCCAGGCTAGACCGACTGGCTAGGAAATCCCAGCGATTTGCTGTCTCTGTTGTAGTTGTCCTTGCTCCCTCAGTGCATGGATTCCAAGCACGCCCCACCATGCCTGGCTTTGTGTGCATCTGTGTTTAGGCTGGAGGTCAACACTGGGTGTCTCACGTCTCTCATTTAACCTGGAGTTTGCCAGCTAGGCTCAATTGGCCAGCCATCAAGCTCGTGTCTGCCTCCCCAGTGCTGGGATTATAGGTGCCCTGACATACCAGGCTTTTTTTGTTTTTTCTTTGAACATGGATGTTGGAGATGAAACTCAGATCCTCATACTTTCCCAACTGAGCGTACACCCCCCCCCATTATAAAATTAGATTTATTCTTGACACCCTCCATCGGGATATAAAACCCAAGCTGATCCTTGATTTACTGACAGCACAAGTATGAAAGGGGTGCTCATGGCTGGTGAGGAAGAGGGAGCAGCATGTCTTCTGCACATCTTGCAGTAGCACTCATGCTAAATACAAGCAGAAAATAGACTACATCCAGAGGTTGCTGACTGGCATGTAGCCAGACCTGCAGAGGAGGAAGAGCTAGACTTTAAACCTTATTTTAACCTGTTTGAAGCTATTGGAAAGCTACCCAGACAGTCAGTATTTTGAGGGTCTCAGATTTATGAGAGGACAGAAAGTTAGTAAGGTGAATCCAACTTTTCAAAAAAGCTCTTTCCTGATTTGTGACTGGTGTACAGCAACAGGCAAAGAAGCCCAGCAGAAGTCAGCTGCGGAGGAGGACCCAGCCGAGAGTTTTGGCAGTATTGTGGGGAGGGCTGTATCCCACAAGAACCAAGTGGCGGTGTATCAAGGGTGTGAGTGTGAAGAGGAAGAGCCATACAGCATCCATGAGCAAATATGCAGGGGTATTTTTGTGACCTTGGTAATTAGGACATAGAGTTCTGACCATAAAGGAGAAGACTGATAAAATGGGTCTCCTTAAAAATCAGTCTGTCTCGTGACTAAAGGATATTACAGAACGCTAAGACTAGGCACAGAGTGAGAAGAGATTCCCCGGTACATTTGTTCCACAGAGGACTCACATACAGTGAATGTGAAGAAAAGTCCTACGAAACAAGTGACACACAGATACCTCATGACAGAAATGAGCATTGACATGAATAAGCACCTCATGAAGATAATGTCCAGCCAGCCAACATAGTTATTAAAATGTGCTTAGTCTCACTTATCAACAAGAAAATGGATTAAAGAACATTGGCATGCTGTTACACACCCTCAGAGTGTTGGAGTGTTGTTTTATAAAAAACTTAAGATTGGGGATGTGGCTCAGTGGCAGTGTGCTTACCTAGCATCCATGATACCCTGGGTTCAATCCCAGCAGCACAAAAACCAACCAACAAAAACCCAGAGAAGTTATAACAGTTACTGATGGGAACGTAGAACAGGGAGTTTTGTAGACTGCTGACAGGGAACAGACTTTTTCAGCTACTGTGTAAAATTGTTGGCTAATATATACTGAAGTCGAGCATTCTCATTCTTTTTTTAAAAATGTGTATGACTGTATTGTCTACATGTATGTAAGTGCATCCGTGCCATGCAATGCCCACAGAAGTCAAAAGAGGACATCAGATTTCCCTGGAACTAGAGTTACCGCAATGTGCGTGCTGGGAATTGAACCCTGGTCCTCTGCAAGAGCAGCAAGTGCTCTTAACAGCTGAGCCATCTCTCCAGCCCCAACATTCTCATTCTTTGTGACCCAAAAGCTCTACTCCAGACATGCATCTAATGAAAATGCATACAGATGTGCCCCAAAGACACGTCTAAGAATGCTCACAGCTGCATTGTTCATAACAGCAAAAAATTTGAAATGACCTAACATTTTACCAGCAAGAATGGTTAAACTGGATTTTATTTGTATGGTGGACTATCACATAACAGTGAAAAATCAAAAAAGCTACAGTTATATGCAGCAGCCTAGGGAATCTGATAAACTTAATGCTGTTTGTAAGAGGCATATACAGCAAAGTGCATACTGAGGAATCAGTTTGTATAAAACACAAAGCAGGAACGCCCAGTCTGTGGCCATGGAAGTCCTGAAGGAGCGAGGAAGCAGTGACTCAGAGCCTTCAGGGACAGGGCTGCTTTCCAGTGGAAACAATAATCTGCTTTCTGACCTGGATGGTGATTACATCCTATATATTCTGTGAGGAGTACCCAGAGCACTGGGGAGACGGCTCAGTAGTTAAAGCCCTTGTCATGTAAGCAAGAGGACCAGGGTTCAGCCCCCAGACCTCGCGTACCTTACCAAGTGGACACGGCGTCTTGTCTGTAATTCCAGTCTTGGAAAGTGGAGACAGTGGATCTCTGGGGCAGTCTGGCTAGGGAAACCAGCCATGTCAGCAAGCTCTGGGTTTGATTAAGCGACTCTGCCTCAAAAGAGTAAGATGGAGGTGTGGCCAAGGAAGACTCCCAACACCAACCTTGGACCTCCATATACACATACTCACGTACACACGTGCACATATATCTGTACAAGCATGCACGTATACCCATACAAATGTCAACACATGCACATATGCCCATACAAATGTGCATGCATACCCCACACACGTGCACATGAAAATAAGAAAAAAGTAAGAAAAGAAAAATTGAGTGTTGCATTTGATGGCTGCGCTGTGTATGTGGTATACACTAGTCAAAAAGTGAAGCACGGCAAACCTGCAGATTCCAGTAGGCCAAAAGGAATTCTGCCATGAAACAAGCAGTGTTCATTCCTGTGATGTCTATGACTTGGGGTAATATATCTGCATTTCTTTTTACTGTAGTATTTTACTTTTGTAATTACAGAGGAAGTCCTTGTTGGTAAATACTGAGCCCTTGATTCTGACTGGAAAGCTGACATGACTTGTATCTTTCATGGATTCTAGAATTACAGCCACCACTTGGCTGAGGGATGTCATTTCCTTTCTTCCCCAACTAGGCCCTGAAAAGCACCCTGGGATTCCCGCTGATTCGGTTTGAAGATGCTGTGATCAATCTGGACCCCTTCACTCGGGTGCATCCCTATGAGACCAAGGAGTTCATCATCAACGACATCCTTAAGCATTTCCAGGAGGTGAGTGCAGGGATACCCGGGCTGGCCACAAGCACAGTGTTTGTTTTGGTTGTTTGGGAATCTGGTTACTAAGACATTACTACTGAGAACCCAGTGGAACATTTCAGCTTTGCCTGAAGCCTTGTAGATACCCTGAGAATCCCGAGACTGCACATTTGACTTACGAGTGTTTGTCTTGTCCCTCAGAGCCAGTCCCAGGGGCCTCCACTAGTTTAGTCACAGCTCTTAGTGGTTTAATTGATGCTTTAATAGCAACACAGAATACTGTGAACTCTTTTTTTTTACCAGGCATGGCCTACATTCAACAACCACACCAGTGTTCTTAGAGCTGTGAGATCTTGACCTTGAGCTGAACTTGACTTTTTTTTCTCCACCAAATTGGATATTGACTGCACAGTCCCAAGATGTCAAGCTGGAGTATAGCCTTTGATGAGTTGTCAGAGCATACCAAACTTGTTAGCTTTCACAGTTCAAACATCCCGGTCTTGCTTTTTCTGCCTCCCCCATTTCCTTCCCTAATCAAGGGTATTTTTCTACCCACCTCTAAGGAGGAATAGGTATCTCTAAACCAGGAATCAGGCAGTCTGAGGAGTTGGTGGAGCTCAGGAGCCCTCCTCCTGCCTGCCCCAGCTGAGGACAGGCTCACCTCAGTCACCTCCCTGCATGCCGTTGCTAGTTCTCTCTGCAGGGCTGATGGAGAAAGGAGAGTGATATACTCGCTGGTTGATGTCCAGAGAACCCTTCTCACCTCATACTGTTTGTGTTCTCCTAACTGGCTTTGATGCATGTTTTGAGGTGCATTGAAAACAGTTCCTGGTATATTGGTGCCAGTGATAAAGATTGAAATGGTAATTGCTGGAAGCACTAAAGGATGAGCTAGATGCCCAGCTTCTTCTTGGGGATGCTGGTCTTTGCAGTTACAAACTGGTACTGATGGGGTTTTCCTCACCCCACTCCATTTCACAGGAACTCCTCAGTCAGGCGGCTCGGATCCTAGGATCTGTAGATTTTCTTGGCAACCCCATGGGCCTTTTGAATGATGTTTCTGAAGGGGTCACTGGACTGATAAAGTACGGCAATGTTGGGGGTCTCATCAGAAATGTTACTCACGGAGTATCAAATTCTGCTGCCAAGGTAAGGGAACATTGACAGACTCGCATGATTAGCCTCGAGAGGCCTGTCACTAGAGTTCAGACAGGAGAAGCCATGAAAATGAGGGGTTGGGGATGTGGCTTAGTGGTAGGACAACTGCCTAGCATGCCCAAGGTCCTGGGTGCCATCCTTGGCACAAGGTAAAAGTTAAAACTAAGCAGCCTCTGAACTCCAGGAAAAGTTCAAACTAAGCAGCCTCTGAACCCATGGGAGAAAAGTGGGCTGTTCTCCTGGGCCTTGCAACCCCTTGGCCTGGCATCTTGCTTGGGGGACAATTTGATGGTCTGCTCTTGGCTTCCAGCAGCAGGTTCTGTGCATAAAACTGGGGGAGGCAGAAGGGTGAGGGCAGCTGCTATTCCATTGCATACGACAGGCCTCTCAGAGCTCTACCTCTGTCTGTCCCTTTCCTGTCCACTCCACCCTCCATTCCTGTGGACACTGCCCTTTCTTAAGTGAAGGAGACTGAGGAAACACCTGTGTGTGTGCTCTCTGCTCATCCCTAGGGACTTGGCTCACACTAGACCCTACAGATACTTGCTCTGTGGGCTTCTAGAAGGAAAAGTAGTATTGTCTGGAGACTGGTGCTGTAGACCAGAGGAGAAGCTGGACTTACAGAGTGTTCCTGTGCTGCAGGCATTCCTTCTCATACGTGCAAGGGGGAGGAGAGGCTTCCAGACTGTCATCCAGAGCTGACCTCCCTGCTGTTAGATCAGTTTCTCCAGGGCTGTAGTATTATTGAGCCAAAGCAAAAGTGAACTGTTTGCCTTGTGGTTCAGAATACTTCAAAATAGAGAAAACTCGCTTTCACAAAAAGGGGGAGAGGTCAGAGCACAGTTTTGAAACCAGAAACATCAGGTCCAGAGTCTGAAAGACAGCATCCATTTCTGCTGGGATCTTTCTCACGTTCCCCTGGACCAAGTTCTACTTTTAGCTCCTGGAATCAGTCTCAACAGATGCTGGAAGCCGTTTAAAGCTGCTGTTCAATCTTATTGGGTACCACGCTTTGTATCGTCATTGGCTTTCCATAAGGGATTTTCCAGGGCCAGAGTCCCTTTACCTTGTTCCCATGTTTAGTTGGGGTTCTTTACCCGTTCATCTTGCCTTAGTAAAGCTGATCAGTATCGGAGTCACAAACTGCTACTGATTTAGAATTTGTATTTTGATAAACTAGATTTGTTGTTAAAAATTAGTCCATCTAGCTGTAAAACGGGAAAGCAAACAAGCTTAAGCTCCCACTTCACATTGGAAATGCTGATCCATGGGCAGGTCCATCAGCTGACCCCCATCAAGTTATCTTTGATTTTGCATATGTGGTTGGGCTTGAAACAACAAAAACAAAAAAAACCCTCCATTTCTTGTAGTTTTGCTACTTGAAACCAGACCTTCAGTGTTGCTTTGGGGAAACGTTTTGTTTGCATCTCTGTATACAGAGGAGTTTAAGGAAGTGCAGATGACCACAATAATCAAGCTTTGGCTTGTGGGCCGTGTTTCTTTAGCATTCCAGTGATGAAGAGGGCAGGGAAGGCAGCCCACCCTTCCCCGCCTGCTCAGCGGCCTGCTTTGCTGTGGCGTTCAAGGCAGTTTGTCTGCTGGGAGTAGGACAAAGCGCTGATGGTTCTGTAGCATTCTTGTTGCCAGCAGCACAAGTAGGAAAAGGTGCAGGCACAGCGGAGCACGCCTGCTGCCTTGTGGCACATATTCTTGCTTTGCAAACATTTACTGAATGCCTTCTGTCTGGCAGGTCTGTGATAGAGCTTGTTGAAGGCCTTCTGTCTGGCAGCCTGTGATAGATAGGCCCTTTCCACACACTGCCTCGTTCATGTTAATCTCTACCCTGCAAATCAGGAAGTCAGGCTTAGAGAAGTTCAGTAACATTTTCAAGGTCACAGAACTAAAAGTGTCAGGGGTGGACTTGATGTAAGTCCAGCTCATTCTAAAGACCTTTTTTTCCTCTCTCCTGTGTGATATTTTTCTTTGTGGGTATAAGGTTCCTTTTCCAGGCACTTCAGATGATACAAAATAGTAGCAGCCCCTAGCTTCCCACTGGAAGCTTGTTGCTGGACATAGCTTTGTTAAATGGGAAGGGTCCCAGATAGAAGTCCCGTCACCCTTGTCACTAGCATCCTGGGGATGTGCTTATGGTCACCTTTACCACAGGTAGTCAGAGCTCACACTATTATATGCATCACCAACCGAAAGATTTATGCCAGGCATGCCCCTACGTATTGAAAAATAGAACGGGAAAAACAAAAGGTAAACAACACTGTAGCCAGGAGTGGCAACACACCTGTAAGCCCAGCACTCAGGAACTTGAGGTGGGAGGATTGTTAGTTTGAGGCCAGTCTGGGCTACAGAGTGAGACTGTGTCTTGGAAAACATGCAAACCAAACCAAAGCCCTGCCTATCCTCAGAATTATTGTCACAGACTTCAGGAACACCGTCTGAAGATAAACACAGCAGGCAGAGAGCAAGGAGGCCCAGTTGTTCGGGTACTAATGCAGAAAGTCTAGCTAGGGCTTTAGGTAATGTTTTCTCCCCCTTAGTTCCTGATTTGGGGCAGCCGTGTGCAGATGAGCCTTTACCTTCCACTGGCCCTTGGGAAGCGGAAGCCATATCTGGGACGTCACAGTGACTGGTGGAAAGAGCCTTTTCCTTTCCTGCTCCGCAGCCTCTCCCCTCGTATGCCCTGTGGAGGGCAGGGCCGTCCATCTGCCTTTTGTTTAGGAAATTGCATTTGTTTGTGTTTGTTTTGCAGGCAGTGTATTTATAAGGCTCAGAAAAGACTGTTTATTCAAGGAGAAAGTTACATCTCTACATAAAAGAATGCACTGTATGAGTGCCTGCCTGAATTCTGAGGGGAAAGGCAATTTATGACTTGTGTCTGTTTCTGTCATTATGTGTGACTGCTCCATTTTATTGTTGAGCCGATTATCCCCATAATAGCTTTTCCATGTACCTGTAAGCAAGAAATAGGTGGGTGCCTTCTCGTAAGCATTGGGGTTTTACCGTGTTTAAGTTGGCACAATTCTAGGTTGAGTGAAATTTGCTTCAGTGATCTATGCCTTAGAGAATGTAGGGTTTTGTATTTTCAAAAAGGCTTTGATCCTAAATAAGTCACCTGAAGGACTTCTTTTCCCTCTCAGATGAGGTTCAAGTTGTCACATATGGAGAAATGACACCCTTGTTTGGCACCAGAGTTCTTATTTAATTTTTTCTCATAACCTTGAAGACTAAAATGATTCCCTTAGTTTGAATTCTGTGTGGTTAGAGGCCACTTTTCTGATGGTGACTGACCCACCCTAGCTCAGGCAAATCTCTACCATCTGGGCAATCAGAAGCATGTTTGAGCAGGGGAGTGGAGTGGTGGCATGGGAAGCCTGAGTGACCCAAGGTCCCAAAAACAGTGTGGCACTCCTCTTCTTCCACCAAGCAGGCAACTCTGCAGCCTGAAAGCAGAGGAAAGTGTCCGCCACTGGCAGAACACAAAGTCGGAAAAGGCTCCAAACCCTCCTTTCCTGCCATCAGCTCCTCCAGGAGTGGGGTTCTGAAGTTGCCTTCTAGAGGAGCTGAGCATGGCGTGTTTCAGAGGGAGTCACCTTATCGCCAGAGAGTACGACCATATGGTGGAACGATGCTGAATTAAAAAGGAAAGAGAGAGAGTTAGGGAGAGGGAGAGGGAAAGGGGGAGAGGGAGGGGGAGAGAGTGAGAGAGGGAAAGGAAAGGAAGTGAAAGGAAACAGAGGAAGAAGGACTCCCCTTAGATGGTTAATAAGAGAAACTTATACAGCCAAGCTCAGAATGGATGCTTCGTATCCCCAACCCTGCCTGGGGATTAGTAATGCGTTTTAAAATTCTTCATGTCAGTATTTGATCTTCCCTAAAATACTGCGGAAGACTTACAGGTGAAATGGGCTGTAATCCATTTTTATAAAAAAATAGTTTTTTGGTCAATATCATGGTGGTCAAAACCATAAAGGGCTGTAGCAAAGGCAGCAAGAAGTGGGATGAGCAACTGTGCTGTCTTGTTTGCTTTTCATTCGTGCCCTGTAAGGAAGGGGGCATTGTCCCCTTTTACAGGTGTGAAAACCGAGACTCTGAATGGCCAGTAGCCTTATCTGAAGTTTAATAACAATTGACTGTTGAAACCAGAAGTTTTAGAAAACAGTGAATCTGGCTGTCAGCACTGTATAATTTTCCCTCTGAAACAAGGTGTTCTACTTTATCTCCGTTGCTGTGAGAAAACAATGACCAAAAGCAACTTAGGGAGGAAAGTATTTATTTGGCTTTACATTTCCAGGTCACAGTCCCTCACTGAGGGAAGTCAGGGCAGAACCCTAAGGCAGGCTACTTGCTATTCTGTGCAGCATTACCTCCAACCAGGAAACCTGCCAATAGCCAAGGAAGTACAGCAGGACCTGGAGGATGCTGTCTGCTGTCTCACTCTCACTAACTGCCTTACACAGCCCAGGACCACCTGCCCAGCAATGGTGCCGCCCACAGTGGGCCAAACCCTCCTTCATCAATGAATGTTCAGGACAACCCTAGTAGACATGCCATTGACCACCCTGATAATGAAAATTATTCAATTGAGACTCTTCTTTCAGGTGATTCTCAGCTGTGTCAAGTTGATAGTGCTAACTAGGACACAAGGTTTCTCCATATTTTCTTCTACTGGGCCAGACCTTCGTAGAAACTGTAGTCAGGTGGAAACAGTGTCATCTGAGTAAAGCCCACAGAGTTTTCCCTTGATTCCCATTCCTAACTCCTTTGTGTTGGACCTTGGTGTTTTCCAGCTATAGGATGTCAGAATTAACCTTTTCTATCTGGAAGTCCCTAATCTGGTATGAAAGAGTTGGAATGCGAGGAGTGAAAGAATTTTGTTTTTCCAAGTAGAAACTGTTTGCATTGGAAGTAGCTCAGTACCTCCACAGTATTCCTTTACTTGTGTAACTCAGGATCTGTTCAGCTTTAAGCTGTGTGGG